ATCACCGTTGATTTGCGGTTGAACCTGCCGGGGTGTCGGGTCCCTTTTGTATCGACCGACCTCACGAGACTTTGCATAGGTTAATCCTAACGCTATTCCGCCTAATGTCACGGCGATGGCCCTGTCCGTTCATACGCGCAGGTGTATGGAAGAGAAAAGAAAGTTCGTCACCGTTGGAATATCGGACTTTCTTCATCTCCGCGATGGGACCCTTTCGGTGGTCTTCTTTCATGAAATTGTGAGGGGTGTTCATCACCGTGCCGTTTCTGTCACCCGTCCGGGGTGTCATATTTGAAAGGCACAGACTACAGCCATGTGTCAAGCGAAGCGTGTTGTCTCCTGTTTCCTTTCCATCGAGTGGCACTCGTCATTCAACCTCAGACGGAAGAAATGTGAACAGTCCCAAAAAGGGCTTGAACTCGGGACTTATCGGTTTTGAATTAGACGCTCTATCGACTGAGCAACCCAAGTCTAAAGCAATATGTAGTAAATTCTGCAGTGGACAGTCCGATGAACCGGACAAAGAAAGTCCGAAATGGACCAACCACACGCTGTTCAATCTTTTCTATTGCCCATTCGAACGGACAACCCATAATCGTACTGATAGTGGAGATAGGTTATGGCAATTGTTACTACAAAGCTTTTTTACTGAGGTATACAGACATAGATATTTATACGGTCCTGCCGTTCAGGCCTCCAGTTCGTGGGAGTCATCAGTCTCGAACCTAAACTGGTCTTTCCTTATTAATTCGAAATGTGTAGCATAAGAATTTGAATGCTGTACTCGAACCCTTGTTTATAGCGACTAAACTCCAGCATAACTTCTACTACATTTTGTAGCTTTTTAGGAACACAGTGGCTTTAGTCGCAATAAAATCAATTTACTCTGGTGTTTAGACCCGCGGCACTGAAGCCCTCGTCAGTATTACAGTATAATTAAAATAGAAAGTATGGAAAATTTAAAAACAGTGAATGGCGGATAAACAGGCGTTGAAAACGTACAACAGAGCATAGCGCAGAACTGGTGAAGGATTGGGTTGAGGTTGAAATAGGCAACAGAAATACTAAAGTGGGATAAAAGGAATTACAGTAGAGCAGATTCACGTTCAACCCTTAGATTCGGAACAGATGCTCAAAGAACTAGCGAAGTTATTGCTCATCTTTGGTTCGTCATTAGGAAGTCAAGAATATTATTTTTTATTACTGAAATTATGTTACCAGCCCAAAAAGAAAATGCTTATAATCAATAGAGGTGTTTCGGGTTGTTCTTTGTTATAGTATCCTGTAAAATTAACCTATCTATGTTCTTTAGAACTTTCGCGAAACTCACTCGCCATGCAAAGTAAACTTTCAGCCAGTCTTGTCAGATGCTGTTGTTGTTGTCATCCTTCTCACATGCTTTTGCATGAAGAGTAATACGCAGTAACAGCACAAAAAATAGTAGCTCGCAAAAGCCGGCTACCTGTCACAAAGTTAAGGGAAAATATGGCCGTTTCAAGATAATGCATAGCTCGATATTTTGCTCGTTCGGTTGTCCATCTGACCAGTGACTCAGCGGCGCCGTCGCTTTTCGAACAGCATCTGCAACTTGACAGACAGGGCCATGAAAAGTGGAGGATGTGCAGATGCCGCTGAACTGACGAACGTATCTCATCCCATGAGTCAAACGCTAAACATTGAGGGCAATCGTAAATAAATTAATTCCAAAAGTAAGCGTATTAATAATTAACGGACCTTCGCTTTTAATGTAATACCCACATGCGTTGAAGCACGTGGTATACCTACTTACAGCGTTAATCATTTAAAGTACCAGTTTTCGTGGTATACAGAAGAAACATTGCGTCGTAAAATATCATTGATTTGGAGTTATAATAAACGCTTAAACAGAGCGTCATACATAATTTTGAAATTCATCTTTTCCAGGGAAAATTTTTCTCTACTTTAAGTAAAGTCTTTTTATTATATCTAAACCTCGTTTTAACAATCAATACTATCTCACAATGAAATGCTTCGCTTTGTGTACCTTGAAAACTAATGCTTTTAATGATAAAAACTAAAGTGGATACATAGCGAAAACGAGTTCTAAAGCACGTGGTTGCACTTCAGAAAGCGAAGTGCGATCAATTGTCAATATACGATACAGCTATCACTTTTTGTAAATTTATCAAAGACTTGAATGCCTATCATTTAATTAATCTGATTTTTTTGCAGATAAATCAAAAGTATGGATTTATAATTAATAATTAATCTGGGTGTTCAGCAGTAGTCATTACAAATCAAAGAGCTACATTGCTACCATTTGTGACATTTTTCCAAGCAAAACTTTTATTTCCGGTTTACATATCTGTGAATGGTAGAAATGCAATTGATGCTTAAACAGGGCTTCGTTTTTCTAATTCAGAGATGCGGTCCTATGCAGAGCATGTAGCGAAACGTTATGAAATGTGACCGTGGTAAATAGTGCTTATAGGCCTCTAGAGGCAAGAGGTATTTGGACTTGAGAAGAAGGAACCCACGTGCTGTACTGCAACAGTTTCTGTATAGCGTAAAAATTGCATAACGAAAAGATTTCACCATGTTCTTCAACGATCCTGAATTTGAATGTTTTCCTCCGGTCTCTTGTTACAGCTCATTCTGCAGAGAGGGAAAATAAACCAGCCATCTTTCGACTAGTCGACTGCTTTAGGGTTTTTGAGTTTTCACTGCAAGCTGGTACCGCTACCATGACCACTGAGTAGAATAGTACATCAAATTTACGACTGGCGATTTCCTTGCTGGGCCATCGTCCATTTACTAGAATTCACTGAGGATATTTGGGATACATACGCTAATTCATGTATAACTAATTACTTTGCTTATACCAGCAATGAATAGACTTATGCTTTGTTCGAGTATCAATAAGAACCGCATCATCATCTCAAAATATTGCAATGCACATACCTCCACCTAGCCTGATTTCACAGCACCGCTCTCTTGCTGAAAACATTCAAATGGATTACTAGCTCTTTGACAATCAATCATTTGCATTGTTGAACGCATTTGATCATTTTTGCTGAGCAAAACCGTTTTACTCATCAAGCCGCTTCAGAAGCGGTCTCCATTAGGCACTGGACAAGCCGATGCT